CTTCTAGATTTAATGGAAATCAAAAATGTTTAAATCATGATTTAAAGCAATAGTCTGGGCACTTGCTTTAAATATTTTTTTCCCTACAGAAAATGTTAACCTCATTTGCTGCAGCGTTTAGTCATTTTTCCCACTATTCCCAGATGGATATAATTTTATAAGGTAAATACCTTTCCAGTAAAACTAATTCCAGGAGTTACTTATGAAAACTATGAGGGAACCAAATATTTAAATATTGGGCAATATCACTCACTAATAAATTTTATTGGCTCCCTGTTGTCTCTTACATCCAGATGTCTCAAATCACATCAAAGCCATTTATCGTCTGGCCCCATGTAACCTGTATGACTTGGTCAACCATTTAGCCTTGATGCAAATCCTTGCCCCACCCTAATGCATCTGATTTCTGCAGCTCACATCCTTCCCTCTATCCCCTTGCCTGGGCTCTTCCTGTGATACTCTACTTTCTCCTAGTTAGGACAGTCCAGCCATATCATGCCTTGAATGTCTGATTTTAGATTTATCTTCTCTATTAAATGTTGTGAGACTAATGACTACTTGGACTAATCACTAACCAGTAATGACTAGTTAGTCACAGTGATCGTGTACTTGATTCTTTATTTCCATACAAGAAAGTTGGTCTCATGTGTTCCCTAGCTGTTTTCTTGTTTTACCTCCCCAGCTGGTGTGTGAGTTCATCATGTGTAGGAATTGTCTCTTCCACTTTTCTCTTGGTCCCCTTAGTGCAAAACAAACTGGGATCACAGTTAGCCTTAATAATATTGATGATGCAATGAATGTATGATTGACAGTTTCAGTTGTCTTCCTGATGATGTTCCTTTCTCCTGTTGTGACATAAGAGTGGAGATCATGCTCTAATGCTTATCATTTTAATCATTTTTCCCTTAAGGGATTGCTTTATCCTTAGCCACATCCATGAACTAGTGTCAGTCCATTCACGTAGCCTTTTGTTATCCTCTGCAACTCTATTGTCTGATTGTGTCCAGACAGTAAACATTTCCTGACTTTTGAAAGGAAGAAAACAGACATTGTCTATTTCATGTGATAATTAGGCAACTCCTAAAAAAATATAAAGTAGAAACACAATTTGTAGCATGGCTCTGTAGGGTTAATTTGGAACTAGTATTTCTGTAATTATGAGAAATTTCAATGAGTATATTAATTTAGAAGTTCTGCTTATAAGAGCTATATTTATTTTACTATTAAGTATTAATTCTTTCATAGGTCAGTTCTGAATGTTGTACACATACATAGTAAGGGCTCAATAAGTGCATTGGGTATGATTTAATATAAATTACAAACTCTAAGCTATTGAAGGACTATTTTGAAAATATATTTCACCAGTCTGGGCATGGTGGCTCAGGCCTATAATCCTAGCACTATAGGAGGCCAAGCCAGGAGGATCGCTTAAGGTTAGGAGTCTCTACTAAAAATAGAAAAAATTAGCCGGGCATGGTGGCACACACCTGTAGTCCCAGCTACTGGGAAGGCTGAGGCAGGACGATCCCGAGCCCCAGAGTTTGAGATTGCAGTGAGCTACTGCATTCTACCTGGGGCAACAGAGTAAGACTGTCTCAAAAAAAAACCAACATCGCACCAATCCCTGAACATGTTTTCCTTTTTAATTTACTTATACTTGATATATCCTGATATGTATACAGAAACTTGAGTATTTATAATTTGAGAATGGAAGGCTATCAATTAGTATTAATAGTAAAAATACCAATAAAATTGTAAACCAATCCTGAATGCAAAGTACTAAAGATAGCGATAAAGGGTTTTCTCTGTAATGTGTGTTATTCCATAGCAAGAATCATATCTTATTAATTTCTGTAGTCCTTTTTCCATCCCCAGGATCTAGGACTGTGACTAACATTTGGTAGATAACTTGGTAATTCTTTGATAAGTGGTGGAATAATGGCAGTTCTCTCCTTTCAAAGATAAAATTTTCCATCTAGTCAACTTATAAGTGAAGTTGAAATGGTCTCTCATTAGCATGTGTGAAACTATTTCCTAGTGTTGATTAATTAATACATTCTGTTTTAATTATAATTTGATACTTCCCCAAATAGGATTTCACACCTGTCTAAAATCATAGACTATTAAAATTACAATAGCAACTTACAGAAACTGCACTGACAGAAACCAGAGTAAAAGAAGACAATAAGTATTTAAGTATTCAGCAGAATATATGCCCTCAATATATAGCTAATTTTCTAATCAGTTTTCTTACATTTGTTTTAGATGTATCACTAGTCTTCCCTTACTGTATTAAGTCGTATGTGTTATGTATGTAGCTGTAGCTCATTTGAATCTTGTATTTACAATTATTAACAGGTAAATTCTAATTTATAGTATTTGTAAAAGTAAAACCTTTTCAGTTTTATAATTATGATTTTCATTTTGCTTTAATTTATTCTTCTTAGTTCATGTGCTATATGTAAAGTGACTTCAGGCTGAATATTCTTTCAGACTTGGCCAAACACACTTTTAAAATACATGGTGAAATGGTGGCAAAGGTTTAATATTCATTGTTAAAAGTGCATAGAAAAGTTGCATCTTCAATATCCAATTATTTTTTAATGATTTACCCTCAAGAAAGTAAATATTCAGAAATAATTATTAAAAACATACTGTATGCAGTTTTAAATGCATTTAAC